GGGCGTGTGCCCATGGGGGGATCTGAGACCAGGGCGTGTGCCCATGGGGGGTGGGATCCGAGACCAGAGCGTGTGCCCAGGGGGGGATCTGAGACCAGGGTGTAGGATCCAGTTGCTCTGGGATCTGGTTATTAACGAGCCGTCTCCTCTCCAGGCTGCTGGCTGGCCGGGCACAGCGGGGTGTGGGGAGGTGAGTATCAGTTTGTGGGGAAGATGATAACATCAAGGACAGGGGAGGGGATACGTGGGGTGGAGAAAAGAGGAACTGAGCCCTGAACCTTCCCCAAAACTCAACCCAAACTCCCCCCCTGAGCTCAGACCTGGCCCCGTTCTTCTGTGAACCTCCCCCATCCCGGCCCCGCTAGGGAATAAGTAAAGAGCTGAATCTGGCTCGTGGGGTCTGACGAAGCAGACGGGAACCATCTTCTAGTTTAATGTCCTGCCCCCACCCCCCCCCCCGCTCCCAGGCTGTGGGGATCGGGGGTGGGGGCGACACGTGGATTTATTTCAGCTCATACAAACGTTAACAGGGCCCATCCATGGGCTCTAGATCCCCTCGGGGAACCGAAAGGTTCACGGTCAGTGCAGCTGTGGGGGAGAACCCCCTAGATCCTCCCCTGCCCCGAGATCCACCCCAACACCTCCCTCCCCTGCACTCACAGCCCCCCCACCCGATCCCATGGCCTGGGGAATCGTGGGTCTTGTGAGATTCCTGCCGGTCACAGACTCTACTTCCAACCCTGGAGCGGGGGGCAGAGCTGCAGGGGGCCCACTGGTCAGGCTCCCTGGCTGGCCTCAGGCGGGGCCGGGGGGGCAGGGGATCTCTCATGCAGCCGGGTCCTGAGCTACGTCTGGGTGAACCCCCTGCCCCCGAGCCCCATGGGCAGCCAGTGCCAACCCGGGTAGGGGACAGACTCCTAGAGAGGCCGAATGACGGATGGACTGAATTGGGGAGGGGGAGGCGGGGGATGTGTCTCCCCTGTTTAACTCCTCTCTCTTGTTGAGAGCAGGGCAAGAATACCCCAAACCCACCATCTCGGTGAGCCCCAGCAGGGTGGTGGCGATCAGGGGAAACGTCACCATCCGCTGTACGGGTCGGTACCCGGACATGGAGTTCTTTCTGCGTAAAACTGGACAACTGAACCTGCAGAGGCAGACGGTGCCTGATGGGACCGTGGCTGAATTTCCCATCGCCAATGTCAGCCGGGAAGATGGAGGGAGCTACACCTGCGACTATCGCTCCATAGCAGATCAGAGTCGCACATCACATCCCAGCGACCCTGTCGAGATCATTGTTGGAGGTGAGGGGCCCGGCTCAGTGCCTGGGCTCCCAGCCCCACACCCAGCCAGACCTATCAGTGCAGAGACCCCCTGTGGGACGCTCAGAGCCAGGCTCTGCCCTGATCCCTGGGCCCAGCAGAGGGGACGCCCGGCCGGGGAATGGTGACAGAGTCACTTGGGGGTTCCTCAGCCAGGGGGGAGAAGCAGCCACTGGAGATTTGGGGCAGAGGAAGGCCGGGGGCTGGGGCTGGGGCTTCCCTGGCCTAACACAGGGCTGGGGTCACCTGGGCCGACCAGCGCAGCTGGAGCTGCTCAGCATCGCACGGCTGGAACTGGAGTCGGTTGCCTGGCTGGGGCTGACCTGGGCCTGGGACTGTGCCGGGGGTCCTCTGGAGGTGGGGCTGGGGGGCTGGCTCGCTGTTCTGGCCAGCCGGGGTTTCTCTGGCCTGGGGAGGGGATGGCGAGGGGCTCTCAGGGCTCCTGCCACTAGAAGCGGGGCCTTGTGCAGGGTGTGTGTGGGTGGGTGGGGGGGTGGGTTGCAGGGCTAGCCTCCCAGAAAGGGGGGTCCACCCATCGCCCATGGGGGATGGAGTCACTGGGGGAAGCAGCAGCCGCTGGAGATTGAGGGGAGGGGGGATCCCTGCCCCGAGGGAGCTGTGGATCAGGGGACCTTTCCCAGGGGGATACTCCCCATCTCAGGGGATGCACAGAGGGCTCAGGGCCCAGGGGCTGCTCAGCCAGCCCCTCCCCACTCCCCTGGAAACCCAGCACTCAGTTGGGAGCTGTGCTGGGGAGGGGAAGGTGGCTGGGTCGTCGTGTGGGCCCCTCCCCGCCTGGGGTCTGCGTCTCACGGTCTGTCTGCTTCCCACTGCAGAGCCCAGCTACACCAAACCCAACATCTCCATGAAACCCAGCAAGGAGGTCCCCCTGGGGCGATCCGTGAGCGTCTGGTGTCGGGGGCAGGGCCAGGGACTGAAGATCGTGCTGAATAAAGATGGACGTCATTTCTCACCTGTGGATTCGGACGGGTCGGAGGTTGTGTTTTCCATCACCAATGTGAGCCGGGAGGACGGCGGGAGCTACAGCTGCTCCTATCACAGCAGATCGGAGCCGATCGCCGTGTCGTACCCCAGCGACCCCGTGGAGCTGGTGGTGAGAGGTGAGGGGCCCGGCTCGGCGTCCCCATTTCCAGCCCCACCCCCAGCCAGACCCTCACGGGGGTTCGGTGCCAATGGGACGCTCAGAGCCAGGCTCTGCCCTGAGCCCTGACCCCAAAGAGGGGACGCCCGGCTGGGGAGTGGGGACAGAGTCACTGGGGGGTTCCCCAGCCAGGGGGGAGCAGTAGCCCTGGAGGCTACTTTAACGCTGTCCCCAGTTTGTATGAACCGTGAGTCGCTATTTAATCCCATCCCCTCTGTTCTCCAGGCCCCGCCCCAGGCAGTGCCCTGACCGGGGCTGAATGAGACAGGGGCCACAGGAGAAGCAGTGGCTTGGTGGACACGGCGCTGGGCTGGGACCCAGGAGATCTGGCCCAGCTCCTGGCGCAGCCACAGACTCTGTGTGATGGGAGCACGTCGCAGTTTTCAAAAGTGTCCTTCATTGTGGGGGGGGCCCTCAATCTTCAGGGTTCTCAGGCCAAGCGCCCGCAACCCGAGATGCCCACAATTAGTGGAGACCTCTGCAAACGCTGGCCTCAATAGCGCTGGATCCCTTGTGTTGCAGGAGCATGTAGGGCCCCCGCCATGATCAGGGCCCTGTTGTGCCAGGCGCTGCACAAACACAGAGTGAAGAGACAGTCCCAGCCCCTGGGAGCTCACGGAGGAAAGTGACTATGTCTGTGCCTCAGTTTCCCGCTATGTAGAATGGGAGGCTGACTCCCTTCTTGTGTGCGGCTCGCGGCCTGTGGTGCTGGGCGGTGCCAGGCACCAGAGACCAGCCCGTGAGTCACTCTGGTGGTCGGGGGGCTGGATGCAGTGAATGAGGCAGGAGCCACACATGGGCATATGAAGATCCCAAGAACTAGGGAGCCACGGCTAATCGCAGGGCCGGGATTGTGGGTAGGGGGAACTCTGGGATCTGGGAGAGAATCACAGCCTGGGGGCCCCAGGATCTGCCCAGGGAGGTGGCCGGCCGGGGCTGGGTGGGTGCCCGGGTTTGGCTCTCACAGCCTGTCTCCTGTGTGCAGATCCCAGCTTACCCAGACCCTCCATCTCTCTGAGCCCCACTGGGGTCACCGCCCCAGGGGCAAACGTCACCATTCGGTGTCAGGGGCAGCGCCAGGACGTGAGATTCTTCCTGCACAAGGCTGGAGACCTGAACCCGCCGCGACACATGGACCCTGCTGGGGATGGGGCCGAGTTCCACATCCCCACCGTGGGCCGGCAGCACGGAGGGAACTACAACTGCAGCTACCGGCCCCAATCAGAGCCCTTCGTCTCATCATACCCCAGCAGCTATGTGGAGCTGGTGGTAGCAGGTGAGGGGCCCGGCTCGACGTCCCCACTCCCAGCCCCACACCCAGCCAGACCCTCGCGGGGGGCTCCATGCTGCTAGGACGCTCAGAGCCAGGCTCTGCCTGGCGGGAGATACAGCTGCTCCTATCACAGCAGATCGGAGCCATTCGCTGTGTTGTACCCAAGTGACCCCATGGAGCTGGTGGTGGGAGGTAAGGGGCCCGGCTCGGCATCCCCGTTCCCAGCCCCGGACCCAGCAAGACCCTCACGGGGGCTCGGTGGCAATGGGACGCTCAGAGCCAGGCTGTGTCCTGAGCTCTGACCCCACAGAGGGGACGCCCAGCTGGGGAGTGGGGACGGAGACACTGGGGGGTTCTCCAGCCAGGGGGGAGCAGCAGCCCCTGATGCGACTTTAACGCTGTCCCCAGTTTGTATGAACCTTGAATCGCTATTAAGTCCCGTGATCCCCTCCCCTCTGTTCTCCAGCACCTGCCCCAGGCACTGCCCCAGCCCGGGCTGAATGAGGCAGGGGCTGCAGGAGAAGTGGTGGCTTGGTGGACACGGCGCTGGGCTGGGACCCAGGAGATCTGGCCCAGTTCCTGGTGCAGCCACAGACTCTGTGTGATGGGAGCACGTCGCGGTTTTCAAAAGTGTCCTTCATTGTGGGGGGGGGCCTCAGTCTTCAGGGTTCTCAGGCCGAGCGCCCACAAGCTGAGATGCCCACAGTTAGCGGAGACCTCTGCAAACACTGGCCTCAATAGCTCTGGATCCCTTGTGTTGCGGGTGCATGTAGGACCCCCGCCATGATCAGGGCCCTGTTGTGCCAGGTGCTGCATAAACACAGAGTGAAGAGACAGTCCCGGCCCCTGGGAGCTCACGGAGGAAAATGACTATGTCTGTGCCTCAGTTTCCCGCTATGTAGAATGGGAGGCTGACTCCCTTCTTGTGTGCGGCTCGGGGCCTGTAGTGCTGGGCAGTGCCGGGCACCAGAGACCAGCCCGTGAGTCGCTCTGTGCTCGGGGGGCTGGATGCAGTGAATGGGGCAGGGGCCACACATGGGCATTTGAGGATCCCAAGAAGTAGGGAGCTGCAGCTCGGTGTCTGTGGGGCTGGGAGCCCAGCTCGCAGGGCCGGGATTCTGGGTGGGGGAAACTCTGGTATCTGGGAGAGAATCTCTGCCCGGGGGCCCCAGGAACTGCCCATGGCTGCGGCCGGCCGGGGAGGCCGGGGCTGGGCGCGTGCCTGGGTCTGGCTCTCACAGCCTGTCTCCTGTGCGCAGATCCCAGCTTACCCAGACCCTCCATCTCTCTGAGCCCCACTGGGGTCATCGCCCCAGGGGCAGACGCCACCATCCGGTGTCAGGGGCAGCACTGGGACGTGAGGTTCTTCCTGCACAAGGCTGGAGACCCGAACCCGCAGCCACACATGGACCCTGCTGGGGACGGGGCTGAGTTCCGCATCCCCACCGTGGGCCGGCAGCACGGAGGGAACTACAGCTGCAGCTACCGGCTCCAATCAGAGCCCTTCGTCTTCTCGGAGCCCAGTGACCCCGTGCAGCTGGTGGTAGCAGGTGAGGGGCCCGGCTCGACGTCCCCGCTCCCAGCCCCACCCCCAGCCAGTCCTTCACGGGGGGCTCCATGCTGCTGGACGCTCAGAGCCAGGCTCTGCCCTAAGCCCTGGGCCCAGCAGAGGGGATGCCCGGCCGGGGAGCGGGGATGACGTGGGTGGCGGGTATAATAGGCCAGGGAAAGCTCTGCCTTCCCTGGCTGGAGCCGCTGCCGAGGGACGCTGGGCTGTGGTTGGCCAGATGGCCGGGGCCTGGGGCTGGCCGGGGCCTGGGGCTGGGGGCTGCTCTGGCCTAGCACAGGCCTGGGGTCACCCGGGCCGGCTGGCGCTGCTGGGGTTCTTGGCATCACATGACTGGGGCTCAGGTTGGTTGGGTGGCTGTGGCTGACCCGGGACTGGGCTGGGGTTGGTCAGCCGGCGTGACTGGGGCTGCTCGGGCTGGCCAGGCTGGGGCGGGGTCAGTCGGCCGGCATGGCTGGGGCTCAGGTCGGTTGGCTGGCTGCGGCTGACCCGGGACAGCGGCTGTGCCGGGGGTCCTCTGGTGGCGGGGGTGGGGGGCAGTCTTGGAGTTCCGGCTGGCCCGGAGGTTCTCTGGCCGGGGGAGGGGGTGGCGAGGGGAACTCAGGGCTCCTGCCACTAGAAGTGGGGCTTTGTGCAGTGGGGGGCTGGGGTTGCAGGGCTAGCTTCCCGGAAAGGGGGGTCCAGCCCATGGGGGATGGAGTTACTGGGGGAAGCAGCAGCCGCTGGAGTTTTCAGTCTGAGGGAGGGGGGGATCCCTGGCTCCAGGGGAATCTGCGGAGCAGGGGGCCTTTCCCAGGGGGACACACAGAGCTTTTGGG